GCTTCAAGGATATCTCCATTCTTTACCATCTTATGGATTCTCATCTCCTGTAAATTATTTGGCCACTTTTCATTTTAATCCTTTACTGTCATCCTCTACAAAAGAGATCGTTTGGTTGCTTCACTGAAGGTGTTCGATGATCACTCAGCTGACAGCTGCCCTTTGTCTAGAGAGCAGAGTGCCTTTGGGGTTTTACTTGCACCTGCTGCATCACTATTTTCATTCTTTCATCCAAGTTTTTGCTTCAGCATTTTCCCCCATAGCAAACTTCATCCATTTTGCGGATGGAAGGTGGCCTGGTGATTTTAGCTGTGAATCGCAACTCGGGACTTCTCCGTTCTCCTCCTAACTCCAGAAAAGCATTTACTCTTTTGGCGAGAATGAGGTACGGGAAACTGGGGGCTTCTGCGTAGTGCTCCTGCCTGTGAAAAGGAGCCCGGGATAGTGGTTACAGCGGGGGCTTCCTCCGTTGCCCCCAGCTCTGCCATCAACTGCAGACAAGTTGCTTAACATCTTCGTCTCAGTTTCTCCATCTTTACAATGCACCGGATACTGTTGACTTGCCTCACAGAGATCTTAGGAAGCTTTTTTGGTTGTATTCTGCTACTATTTACAGGCCTAAACTGAAATTAGGATTTGGGGGGGCAGATGCACCCTGTAGGCACACACTACATGTAAGGTGCTTTGAGATCTTTGGGTGGAAAGTGTTGTAATAAATAATGCAAGTTGTTCAAGTAAACGTGGGAGTGACGTTTATATTTAAGGCCTTCAGCTTTTTAGTTGTTTCTTTGAGCCAGGTTTTCATTGAAAAATGTAGCTTCAGCAACATACGCTTTGCAAAAGGGGGTTGGTTTTAACAGGTCTGCAATCGGGGACAAAAATCAGTTTTTCAAATTGAAATGACTTTTACTTAAAAGGTATGGTCAGTTTAAACTAGAAACAAAAGCTGAAGTGATCAGAAAGGGCTTGGAAAGCACGTCACCCGAGGAGAAGGCTGAAGGGGCTGAGCACATTCAGCTTGCGGAAGAGGCGCTTAAGAGGGGACGTGCTAGCAGTCTTCAAATACGGGAAGGGCTGCCGTAAAGAAGAGGGAAAGCACCTTTTATCTCTTGCTGCAGAGAGGAGGACATGGACCAGTGGCTTAAAGGTGCAGCATGTTAGGTTTAGATTGGATCCCAGGAAACGTTTCTTTATTGCTGGGCAGCAAGGCAGTGGGATAGACGCCGAGGGAAGTTGTGGATCCTCCATCACTGAAGGTGTTCACGAAGATGGTGGACAGCCACTGGTTGGGGTTGATCATGGGACAGCGATGCCTATGGGACTGGCATCCCTACCCCCTTGCTGCTGCATGTGTTGGGAGGAGGGGGGTGTTAAGCTTCATCGGGGCGCTGGGTCTTGGCTGCAGCCCAGGCTGAGGGTGGTGGCTGGGCTGTGCCAGGACTTCAAGACCCTGGATAGAGGGTCTTGCCCCTCTGCCCAGGGTCAGACTGATGCTACATTTGGTGTCAGGAGGGAATTTTACCCCCTGATCAACATCCTTTCCAGAAGCAGGACATTGGCTGTCATGATCCCTCCGCTTTACTTACGGCAGGCTGGGGTGTGCCGTCTTGTTGTGGGAGGGTTGTCGGTAGTTTGACTAAGGTTAGACTATGGGTTTGTATAGGATGGTTTGGATGGGGATGATCCTGCCTCAGGCAGGGGTTTGGACTAGATGATATACAGAGGTCCTTTCCAGCCCTGCTTCTCTGTGATTCAAATAAAAAGCTTTCAAAATTATCATAGTAGGCCTGGAAGGTCTCAAGGCAAGATCATCCCAGCCAAAGGGATGCTTGTGAAGATTTCTGGGGGTGACGATCCTACAGCTTCCCTAGGCAGCCTGTCCCAGTGCTTGACCCCCCTCGCTGTCAGAAAGTTCCTCCTAATTTCCAACCCAAATTTCATCTGCTACAATTTGAGACCATTGCTCCTCGTCCCGTCCCCTGCAGCCACAGAAAATAGTCTCTGTCCATCCTCTCTGTAATCACCCTTCAGGTATTTGAAGACTCTTATATCAAATCCCCCTTTAGTCTTCTCTTCTCCAGACTGAATAACCCTAATTCTTTCAACCCTTCCTCATAAGTCTTGCTTCCCAGGCGTCTGATCATTTTTGTCACTCTCTGCTGGATTCTTTCAAATCCGTTCACACCTCCAAGCAAAACGTGTTTATTTGACCCACATCACATTTCGGTTTGTGAAGATTTTCCCAATTTTGACTTTTTAGCCCAAAGTGGGAGGAGACAAAATACGGAGATCATGAAAACTCTCCCAAGACAGGAAGATGGTTCCCTGCTTCACCTTTAGTGACATCTCTTTTCATCACCCTGTTGTGAAAATGGTTAGCCCAATCAAAGCAGCTTGCTTTCGGTCGTCGCAGAGAACCGTAAGACCGAACCCGAGCTGTCTTATTGTTAACAAGAATTGTTCCTTTTCCAAAGCACTTGAGCCAGCAAGTGCATACACCGGTCTGCAGCTTGTTAATAGTGCACTCAGCCTGGCATTTAGCTGTATGCTGAATGGAGAGCTCACTAATAGCTTCTGCCTTGTCTTTTCTTCATTAATTTGTCTTGCCATTCCTCACATCGCAGTGAGGAGGTGGCTGTTCAGATGGGGAGCTTTTTGTGCATTGCTACGTCTCCTTTTGTGGGAATTTCTTCAGTAGGCATCGTCTACCAGACACATGACTGTCGCTTGTGCAAGACCCATAATGGAGAATGACATCAGGCTTTCACCTTGTGATTTGAGTACATTTTGATTTTAAACCTCTCCGGTTTTGTCATTTTCTGGGCTTTGTTTTGTGTTTTTTTAGATGTCTGGCAAGTGTCTGTTAACAAAATAGATGAGGCTCACAAAGGGACGTCATGACAGCATGTAGCCCAGCCCAGCCCGTGACCAGACAGGGTCTCCTTGGTGCCAGGATGATGCACATAATAAATAATACAGGATTTTTCTCCAGCATTGTCTCTTCTCTCATCTAATTTGCCACGTTCAAAATGTTAGTTCAAATGTGACTGTCTTTGAGGTGGGTGTCTTCCTATTTTGTTGGCGAGAGATGAGCCCCAGAAAGGTGAAGTGCTGAGATCAGGATTATAAGTGCCCTCCGCTTCCCTGTTCTTCCATTTCAAAAAAAGCTTGGTGCAAAATGCAGTCTTTTTTCAAACAGGACTTTTCAAGGTAAGGTAAGGTGATACACAATGTGATTTGATCCCACATATCCGTGGGAGGGTGTATTACAAAGGATAGGAATGATGTCCATCTCAGGCCTGGGAATACTGCTGGAAAAAGTCCACGTGGCCTTTGCTTCTACTTCTGAGAATGCCCCCTCGGCTGACAGCAGAATCGGATCCGGCACGGTGCTGAGCGGCTGCGGTTTCCATTCGAATCAGTAGGGCAAGGTCTGTCTCTTTTGCTTGCGGTACCCAGACCAGCAAGACAAAGATTTCAGCCCACCCTTGAAAAAAGGCAATTTCAGTGGTTACAGTTGCTCGCTAAGGAAGCAGATCAAATGGAGGCATATTAACATTGCTTCTAGCTGTGCTAATGAGCAATTTCTCTTCGTCAATGAATAGCAGCCTAGAAACAAGATTCCAGTTGTGGTTATAGCTGTAACTACAAATAAGAGGATGAATAGAGAGAGGCATGAAATGGAGCAAAAGAAAATTCAGGCTGGACACTTCAGAAAACGCACTTACAATAAGGTTGATTTAACAATGGAATTATCTCCCAAGTGAAGTAGTGGGGACTGTGGTAACTGATCCGGCACGGTGCTGAGCGGCTGCGGTTTCCATTCGAATCAGTAGGGCAAGGTCTGTCTCTTTTGCTTGCGGTACCCAGACCAGCAAGACAAAGATTTCAGCCCACCCTTGAAAAAAGGCAATTTCAGTGGTTACAGTTGCTCGCTAAGGAAGCAGATCAAATGGAGGCATATTAACATTGCTTCTAGCTGTGCTAATGAGCAATTTCTCTTCGTCAATGAATAGCAGCCTAGAAACAAGATTCCAGTTGTGGTTATAGCTGTAACTACAAATAAGAGGATGAATAGAGAGAGGCATGAAATGGAGCAAAAGAAAATTCAGGCTGGACACTTCAGAAAACGCACTTACAATAAGGTTGATTTAACAATGGAATTATCTCCCAAGTGAAGTAGTGGGGACTGTGGTAACTGGCAGTTATTCAAAGGTAGATTGGACAAAAAATACCAAAGGGAACAAAACCATGCTTTTAGCCGCAAGATGACCTAATCGGTGCTGGCCGTTTCTTATGATTATAGCACTTTTTATCCTGAACTGAGTGATCCTTCAGGAAAAATATGACCATAGTAGAATTAAGAGAAATAATTACATTAAGTTTTAACTGGGGGAGTCTCACAAAGCTGTTGTGTTTTGTATGTACAATTGTTCTGGCTTGTGTTCATATCATCACAGAATCATTTCTACCTAATTTACTGCTCAGATTGGAAGATCTTGGTGTCAGTTTGGGGTGTGGAAAAAAGAGGAAGAAACCCTTCATTCCTTACAGATCAAAATCAGTACTGGGCAGCTGATGCAGTCTCAGAGCACTGACTGAGAGAGGGATTTTACAGAAGAAAACAGTATGTTATCTGTTCACAAACAGGGCAGGGCCTGGCCACAAACTTTGGCATTTCCCAACACAAGGATGGGATGTTGTATCTGTATCTGATGTTGTATCTTCAGTGTTTGCAGTGGTCCTTACTTTCTTATATGTGCTAACTTGCTCAAGGGGATGCACAGGAAGCATTGCAAGGTGTTATTTACTTATTTGAGGCAGGTAACCGGACATTTTTAAAGGGGAACTACATGTGTGCATAAAAGCAGAAACTTCTTAACATGAATGTCTGCATTGTCCCTTTAAGAATGACACATATACTAGCCATGGACCCATTTTAGTGGAGCTGTTTTGATGACTTCATGCTTTGATTTCTGAAAAACATTTTTTTTCTGCAGTTACTTCAATGAGAATCAATATCCCGATGAGGCAAAGAGAGAAGAAATTGCAAACGCCTGTAATGCAGTTATACAAAAGCCAGGTGAGGAGTTGATCATGGTGTCCTTTTCAAAGGAGTCTGCAATTAGATTTCAGCATCTCCTGCTAAATTCATCAAATCTCATTTTATGGCTTTTACTAACAATTTAGTGCTCTCAACTAGTAGTAAGTTTTTCCTAGAGCATTTTATGGCTCGTGTCATTCAAGTGGCCATACTTGGATCATCACGAAGGCTACTGGAGTTTTCAAACCCACCTGCCTATGTCTGAGAGTTAAATTTGTACCAGTTCACAGTGATGAGGTAGGTGAGAGGTACTACATCAAAACAGATTTCCATAGAGTGTCTGTAAGAAAAAAAAAGAACAACTTTAATAATTTTCATTGTTTTAATTTTTTCTAATGACTTTTTATCTAAAAAAAAAATGCATTTATGCATGGGGCAAAACTAGGTGTGTATTGATTCTGTTTCAGCGATGGAGACACTTAGATGGTAGACAGTAACACCAGTTTTTAATGATACTGATATAATCTCTTGGGCTGCATCTAGACATGCACAGACATTTGGTTCCCCAGGGGCAACTAGCAGTGGCACACCTTGTGCCGCCGCTACTTGTCCCTGGGGAATACCCGTGCCAGGTGCACTTTGGCACACAGAAAGATATCCCGGGAATGGTAGGGGAGGCTGGGGCCAGCACCAGGGCTGGCTGGGGCCAGCCTTACCTGGAGTCCTGGGGGGGCCTCCGTGGCTGCTTAGCAGCTGTGATTCTGCCGTGCAGAGCCTGGCTGACAGCCGCAGCATGGCTCCAGGCAGCCCAGCTCCACTTTTGGGTGGTGCATGCTGCCCCTGCATGAGCTGCTCCACTTTTTCTTTCCATGGGATATTCTGGGGTAAAAAAATCACCATACTGCTCCTTTGCAGCGCGAACAACTGAACATGCTGTATGTGGCACTTCAGACGTGTCTGTGGTGCCACATACCACACGGCCACGCTCGTCTGGACACGGCCTTAGAGTACAAGTGTTATGTCTGCATGTACCTATTGAACCAAACCATTGTAACCATCTTGTTGAATTTGGGGTTGCTATTGCAGTGATTTGAGTCACTTCTAGCTCCACACTCCTTTAGGGACACAGCAGCTGCGTTATAACAGTTCACACACTTTCCCAGTGTCAGCTTCTCCTCACCTTTCAGAGCAGTTGAAAGTTACCCCTGTTCACAGCCAGAGTAGAAGTGGCCATGACTTGGTTAAGAGGGAATGTCCCTGGCAGAGTAGGAACCCCAGGTCTCAATTAAACTGGGGAACCTCATTTCCCCGCTCCCACACCCAACACATCATTGAAAATCCTTGCTTCTGTAAAGGAAGAAAAGAGCCATCAGATCTGGCAGTGGAGCTTCGGTGTCTGGTGCGGTGGAAAGGCACAGGCTTGTGGGCCCACTGGGTTTTGCTTACTTTAAATCAAGCAAAATCAGTGGTGTCCTGTGACCAGTGGGGTCCCCCAAGGCTCTGTCCTTGGACCCATATTGTTCAACATCTTCATTAATGATGTGGACACTGGAGTCAGAAGCGGACTGGCCAAGTTCGCCGATGACACCAAACTTTGGGGCAAAGCATCCACACCAGAAGACAGGCAGGTTATCCAGGCTGACCTGGACAGGCTCAGCAAGTGGGCGGACGAGAATCTGATGGTGTTCAACGCCGATAAATGCAAGGTTCTCCACCTTGGGAAAAAAACCCACAGCATCCTTATAGGCTGGGCAGTGCTATGTTGGCTAGCACTATGGAAGAAAGAGACTTGGGGGTCATCGTTGACCACAAGATGAACATGAGCCTGCAATGCGATGTGGCGGCTAGTAAAGCGACCAAAACGCTGGCTTGCATCCATAGATGCTTCTCAAGCAAATCCCGGGACGTCATTCTCCCCCTGTACTCGGCCTTAGTGAGGCCGCAGCTGGAGTACTGTGTCCAGTTTTGGGCTCCACAATTCAAAAAGGATGTGGAGAAGCTTGAGAGAGTGCAGAGAAGAGCCACGCGCATGATCAGAGGTCAGGGAAGCAGACCCTACGATGACAGGCTGAGAGCCCTGGGGCTCTTTAGCTTGAAAAAGCGCAGGCTCAGGGGTGATCTGATGGCCACCTACAAGTTTATCAGGGGTGACCACCAGCATCTGGGGGAACGTTTGTTCACCAGAGCGCCCCAAGGGATGACGAGGTCGAATGGTCACAAACTACTTCAAGATCGTTTCAGGCTGGACATAAGGAAGAACTTCTTTACTGTCCGAGCCCCCAAGGTCTGGAACAGCCTGCCACCGGAGGTGGTTCAAGCGCCTTCATTGAACACCTTCAAGATGAAACTGGATGCTTATCTTGCTGGGATCCTATGACCCCAGCTGACTTCCTGCCCTTTGGGCGGGGGGCTGGACTCGATGATCTTCCGAGGTCCCTTCCAGCCCTGATGTCTATGAAATCTATGAAGCGTGAGCAACCTGGAGCAGGGAGCACAGTGGCAGATAGGGCAGGGAACAGAAAGGAGAGCAGCAGATCAGGCAGGGAGCACAGGGCGACAGCTTGTTCTAGTGCAGGGCTGTCCAACTTCTAAGTGGCAAGAGACACGCATCACCCCCCCCCATGACGATCATGCATTGGGAGCGCGCAGCTTCGACCAGTTCCCTACTGAATTCCTGATCTAGTTCTTCCTCTTGGTGGGGAGGTCTATAGTAGACTTCTACAATAAGTCACCCTCCCCATGTTCTTCTCGTATCTTGACCCAGAAGGTCTCAAGATGCCCTTCCTGGTTTGGAAACTCAGTCTGCAGGGAGGTGAACTGATCCTTGACATAGAGATCAGTTCTTAAAAACTCCCAAGGCTGGAGTTGCCACAGCCTCTCTTGCCAGCCTGGTTCAGTTTTTAGTTACCGTCAGAGTGAGACGGTTCTTCTTAATAGCCAATAGCTGTGATTTAAGGTGATTGCTACTTGTCCTTTCCCCTGGGGCCACAGAGAATAGTCTGTCACCAGCCTCTGTATAACTGTCCTTCAGGTATTTGAAGATTGTGATCAAGCCCCCCTCCCAGCCTTTTTTCTTCCAGACGAATCTCAGTGCTACCCAAAAGCGCGCAATCTGGCAAAGCTGGGAACTGAATCCCTGTGTCTTGGATCCTCGGTTGTGTGCCTCAGCTGGAGGAACAACTTCTTTCAGCCACATCTTAGCATCATCCAGTTGACTGCAACTGCCAGAGGAGCCTTGCATTGCACACAAAAAGGGGCTTCCTTTGCCAGTCGCTTCAATCCTCACCATAGTCTCTGGGCACAGAACTTGGACCCACCATTTTTTGTGACCCATTGTCATGTACTTCTCCCATTTATCACTACGGTACGCTCAAACTTTCAAGGGTCATCAGTCACAGGGACGCGTTGAATGTGTATACACGTGTCAAGTGCTGTACGTAGCTGTGAACCCTTATGAGCAATAATTGAGTGTTTTCCTGCCTTTTTTCACAGGCAAAAAGTTGTCAGATCTGGAACGAGTTACCTCCCTCAAAGTGTACAACTGGTTTGCCAACCGAAGAAAGGAAATCAAGAGAAGAGCCAATATCGGTAATGTATCAGAGAGCTTGCTTTCAGAGAACATAGAGGGCTTCAATACATAAGCCTGCTCAGGGGAGATGGAGATTGCACGATTGAATCCTGTTAATGAAAATTGCTAGAGCTTTCTAGTGGTTTTACTAGTAATTTAGAGTGATTTTTTTAAACAAAACTTTCAGCCTCTCGAAATTTCCAAAATATGACTGGGGACTTAATTCAAATCTGTGAGTAGCAGGGCAGGAAGAATGATTCAGGAATCAGATTTCACTAGAAAATATAGTTTCTGTTTTAAATCTGAACCTGGTTGATACAGAAATAAACGTATTTATGAATTAAATTCTTACCCCTGTCTCATCGGGTATCCCAAATAAAGCAGTGCTATCTGCTTCGGGTATAAGGAGTTCTAGATGTTCTGAGTTCAGACCTATCGGGGAGCATGGCTTTCATAGCCTGCATGCATTTTTAGGTTTTCCTGTGTCTCAATGTACAGCTGAAATGCTTCCCTTTTGTAAATCAAAAGGTGGTGGCATTTTCTTCTCTTGCTGCCAGCCTGGCAACTCCCTCACTGTTCTGAAAGTCGAGATAGGTTCTTCATGTCTCATACAATCCCCAGTAGGGAAGAAGTCTGCAAGCCAAATTCTTGCTATAGTTCCCTGTGCTGCTTTATTGCCCTCCATGGGTTTGCACAGATATAATGGATCTGAATGCTTCTGTTGATGACAACCACGGTGGAATAGGATTCAGTTCACAAACTTAGCCTCATGTATTCTGCAGATTAATAGCATAGTAAAAATGACCCTGAACCCACAAGGAGTGGGCCTCTTGCGGGGCCATGCTCACAGGATAAATCACACTTTAAGGGTCTGCAGTATAATGCCTTGATTCAGCAACCTTTGAAATGGTGTGCATGATTTTAGGCATAGGCAGACAAGGTTCCTTGGGTGAATTTGATATTAGGCACGCACTTAAGTACCTTGCAGAATTGACCCCCTGGTGCAGGCCTATGCAGATTTCACACCTGCACACAAACCATGTGCCCTGCCATGTTTCTGGTTTGGCGAGTCTGTTTCTTCGCACAGGAACATTAAAAACAATTGCCTATCCCCAAGATATGAATTCAGGTATTATTTATGCATTTTTGCTTACCGTCTTTAACACCTTTACAATATTTCCCAAGGAAATCGCCTCACAACATAAAACCGTGTTAATTGAACTTCAGTTTTAATTTATAGAAGAATAAAACCTTCCCCTCATTAAAGAAAATCATAATGAGCGGAGATACAAGCAGTGGTAGCAGCCCTGTCTCGTGCTCCTAAGTCCCTCAAGTCCTTTTGAAAACCTCCCCACTGTGTTTTTAGGCCTCAGTCCTATGATCATGGCCCCACAGGACACAATAGCGGGTTAGAAACGCACTTGAAATAAAGCTTGGCTGGAAAACCAGCGTTTTTTTGCACAAAGGGATTTGAATTTTCAGAACTTGTTTTGGGAATTGCAATGAAGCCAAGGCCTTCAACATTTCAGGGGACAAAATGAGAGGTACGTGGTGAGAGAGGAAGAGAGAATGAACACATCTCTGCCCAGCCAAGGATAGCCAATAACCTGGGACTTGCTAGGGGTGTAAGGGACCCAGCCTATAGAGACAGTCTCTCTCTTCCTCTCCTGTACACTCTCTCTCTTATTTGGAGCTTTTCCACTTTGTATAAATAATTATTCACGTACCAGAAAGTCAGAGCGTGAATCTGACAGTGCTAAGACATGTACTGCATCTCCCACGTGCCAAGTGAGAGTCCTAACCACTGAGCTGCTGGCCCTTCCACAGGAGTTGGGTGGTCACGTGCCTCTCATTTTGACCAGAAATGCCACCCCAAACATGGGAAATCTTCCTTGTGGAAGTCTCATAGAGACAGCTGTATTTATCGCCAAACCAGGCATGACAAAGATCTGGTCTGTGGAGCTGTATCATCCAGCCACGTGGTTTCTGGAGGTGCTGGGAAGTGGAGAGAGCAAGGCTGGGACCCAGGACCAGGCTCTGGTGTGCAGAGCCCAGTTGGGAACGCGTCTTGGTGGCAGAGGGGTGAGCAATGAGGACATTCATCCTCTCAGCTCCCTGACACCGTCTGTCCCACTGCTGGATGTGAGACCAGATCTGGCCCTGGGGTTTAGATGAATTGGCGTTGCCTGACATAAAAAAGCTTCTGTTGAAAAATTAACGACCATTTCTAATTTAGAATAATAATTCTGCAAAGGAGTCCATTTCCATACTTATATACGTGCTATGCAAGCACCTCACATTTCTTAATGGTTGTTCCTCAGAGCCAGTCTGCGGGGAAGGGGAACATATAGTAACTGCAGGGTAGATTCAGCAGTTTTCTCAAGGTCAGGCTGGGAGTCTATAGCGGAGCTGGGATTTGAATCTTAAATCTCCTGAGGTTTAGTCCAGTGCCTTGTCCTTTAGACATCCCTCATCCCTCTGTCTTATGGGGACATCAAGGCATGTCTAATTGCGGAGTGAGCCCCACATGGCATCCTTAGTACGTGAGAGTCTGTCTACTACTACAAGCCAGGCAAAGACAGGAAGGCTTGAGGATTAGATTTAAGGATTGGACCCATACTCAGGTATCGTCGTAGCAGAAGTGCAAGCCCCAGACTGTGCATAGCCAAAAGGATGGAGCTAAGAACTGAGCAGGCTAGGACCTGACCCTGCTACTCCAGGTCCTTTAACGAGCTGGATTATTATTTTTTAATGATGCTGAAGCAGCAGATGATTTAGGGAGCCATTTGCTTTTTTCGAAGAAGCAGCAATCCTGGAGAGCCATGGGATAGATGTACAGAGTCCTGGAGGCCACTCCAACAGCGACGATGTGGACGGGAATGACTATTCAGAGCAGGTGAGCCTCTGGGCTTGAGCCCCTTGCCCCTTATATGCCCCTCGGACATCGCGGGGCCTTCTACCTCTCCCGAGTCAGATGTATTGTTGTTTTTTCTTTCTTGCAATTTTAATGGGGAAAGTGGAAGCGCACAGCTCCCCTGTTTGAATGTGTGAGAAACCAGTATTCACCCACATGGATTTATTGTCATACAACAGGACACTTGGCAAGTACGCAATGGGGAGGAGGAGGGACGATGTTCAGAGGGAGGCAGAGAAGCAGAGAAGGTAGAAGAAGACAGGAGGATCTGCTCCAAACAAGCAAGTTACATCATTCCACACGCAATGTTTGAAAATGCTAGGACAGTGTTAACTCACGCAGCACACCATGCATAATTCAAGCTCTCCTTATCCCTGGCACCATGGTAGTGATTGACCTTTGAGGAAAGCTGTACAGGTCTCTTAACAGTCTCTCTGGTGTACCGAGCACAACCCTGCTTCCCTGTTAGGCATCCACATTCCCATCACTCCTCTTTTATTTCTCCTGGAACAAATGCATTTATTGTAACCTATTTTAGAACTGCTGTTATTGTGTGTATTTGAAGCCCAGACAAGTAGAAAGACAACCCCTGCCCTGTGCATTTTGTAATCCACTCTCATCTACTTGGTCCACAGAAGTTTTGAGAACTTCCTACAAGGTGCTAAGTGCTCTCCTTTCTCACTGCAGCCTGTGGGGAGCTCCCTCATGACCTTTTTGCTGAGGATCAGTCCCTGATTTCTGAGGATCAGTCCCTGAGATCACTCACAGACAAAGGGTGAAGGGGGAAAGGATATGACACCAGAGGTTTTAATACTTATTTGACCCCATACCGAAGTCCCACTTAGTATTGTTTCTTGATGCCACTGTTTGATTGTTTGCGTATTGTCTCTTTTTCTTTTTTTTTCCACATTTTAACTCTTAACTGTTTATATTTTTCTTGGTTATGATATTTTTAACCCTTGACAGCAAATCCTCCCGCACTCTGAGCCCTCACCTCCCCTAAAGTTGATGACCCTTCCTTCATGCTCCTTCCTGATGGCTTGTTGAACAGTTCACTTAGATGGTTTCTATTTCTCCTACTCCTTGTGCTCCCAGTGCTGCACCCAGGTGTCTGTGGTTGGTTTTGAATAGGTTGCCCCTGGGAGAGGTGGTTGCTGGGGGGAGAGCGGAGTTGGGGGGTGCTGAATCCAGGTCCCAGATTTTTGGCAGAAGGTGATGCCACGTTCCCACCACTCGTGGAGTTGCTGCTACTAGGGAGTGTTAAGGTCCATTTGTAGGCCAACCCCGGGGGAGTCGGTGGAGCTCCGGCCACGTGGCTGCCCAGGATTAGAAACTTATGCATGGTTTGGGTAACATGTTTTGGAATTACAGCCAGACACACAGGAACTGACCGCTTACCTGAGACGTTGCTCACTGTCCCATTTCTTTCTTTCTCTTCTTTTTTCTTCCCCTGTTTTATCCAACCTATTTTGGACAGAGGAAAAATAATTAATTGCATCCAAAAAAAAAAAAAAAAAGTATGCACTCACAGCTATGTATTTGGCCTGAGACGCAATACAAATCAGTTGATTGCTGTTAGGATTTTACTAAAAAAGTGGCATCCCTGTGTTGGACCCAGTGCTCCCTTCCTGATATCGGCTCAAAAAAGCACACACTTTGCTGTGTGTGTGTGGAAGGAAGTCTCATCCTGTGGATATCCTGTTATAAGTGAGACATTTATTCCTATTGTTTAGAAAAGAGACAAATGATACAAAGGCATATATGGTGACAGCCACACAATTTATCTGAGGTTGCACTGCAGCCAGCGCTGTCGCCCCTGGGTGTCTTCCCTTTAAGCGGGGTCAGGCTCACCGCTGTGTGGCTGGCTAGAAGGTGTGAGCCGCTCTGCCATTTCTTGGGGGAGATCATCGCACCAGTTTTAGCGGCCGGGGATTTTTTCAGCTGATTGCTGTACTTACATATATCTAAATAACATACACCAGTTATGCATAATACAGTGTATTGTAGATGTGCGTATATTAATAGTAGCCTGCGGTGGGAATCATTTTTACCCCAGAATTTAACATAGTCTTTGTAATGCTCCCATCCAGCCACTTCTTATCCGTTGAAAATGAGCTCCATGCTCTGCCCCTTCCATTTTCCTTGAGCCTTTGTCTGCTCAGTGAGTGACTTTGACTCTTAAATGCATTCTCCATTTCTGTTCACCTTCTCCCCAGTTAGTGACAGTGTCATTTGGTGCCTTTACTCACTACTTTCAAAGCTATTTCAATAGCAGGTTGAATATTTTCCTAATTGATTAACCAAGCTTCATTTTTTTCCGTTTCTGCACACACAGGATGACAGCACTAGCCATAGTGACCATCAAGACCCTATTTCATTAGCCGTGGAAATGGCAGCGGTAAACCATACCATCTTGGCATTGGCCCGGCAAGGAGCTAACGAGATCAAGACAGAGGCTCTAGACGACGACTGATACAAAGAAGGGGGAGGGTCAAAACAAGAAGTAACTTAGTTTTAGACGTAGCACCTTAGCAGACTTTCCTCGGTCCTTAATATGTGTTCTTACAGTATAACTTTGCAGTTTCTTGTACGTCAGTTAGCTGTTAGGGTCTTGTTCTGTGAAGATGGCATGGTGCCCTCAGCCTTTGCATATACTCTCTCAGTATTAATTCCCAATAAATAATCAATCAACCAACCAACCAACCTCCCTCTCCCAGCCCCAGTGGCTAGAAAATCTTGCTGCTCTGTCTTAGCATTCAAAGTGCTTCCAGGTATTTTAGACAGCCCTCAATTACAAGTCTTAGGCTACACTTAAAATCTTGGATACCCTTAGACATCATGTAAAACTAGTCTCTAGGCTTTTCCTTCTCCAAGACTGAAAGGATGCAAGCTGAGGTAGTGGCACAGGGTCGATGGACACCATATTGGGAGTATCAACAGAGAGTAAAAAGAACACTAGAAACCCCACGTCAGCCTGGGAACACGCGATTTCCAGCTGCAATAAGCTGTGCCTCACTGGTCACACAGTGACTTGATATACTTCTTTTGGGTGCTGTGCTGAGAATGTCCATTGGAAACACATTCACACATTTTGGTTGATGTTCACATAGTCAACACAGACATCCTATCCTCTACTCTCACAAGCTGCGTGGCTTAGTGGATAAAATACTGCCTTCTGCCTCTGGGACCATGATAGAAGTCCAGCCTGGGATCACATGAAAAATGAGCTGAATGTCTAATGGACGACAGTCCACTTCTCAAAACCACTATTCATTATCTGGCATGTCTAGCAGTGCCTGCTCAGAAGAGGTCTAGACTCTATTGCGCTATCTTAACGCAACTTCGCTTTTTCTTCTTCCTCCCACCTTTTACCCCTTCTGCTTGCCCCTCTCAAAAGCAGTGTTTTCAAGGAAGGTATTAAGGTCACAAAATGGGTGAATGAGGTTTTTTTTTGCAAATCTGTGTAAGCTAATGCCTGCATCCTAACCAGACTGAAAGGCTAACGGGGGACTTTGGTACCTAATTTCTGCTAGTTAACCATCATGACACAGATCTCCCAAACACAAATGCTTTTTTTTGTAAAAGGCAGGAAGATTGCCTGCTCAAGAAATGGGGTGTGAATGTTTTTGTGTTCTCTTTACTCTGGCCTTGTTAAGGTGTGAGAAAACTATACTGCTGCGAGCAATTTAATTAATAATTGGAAGCCATACTGCTAATGGATGTGGTAATACTTGTAAAGGAAACCTACTTTAAGTAGCAGAAACTAATGGAATGGTTTTTTCCTTGATCATATGTAGCACTTTTGTTACTTTTTTCTTAAAGATATTTATATTTGATAAATCTTTTTTTATCATTTGAGAAGTCCAAATACCAAACGGCAAACTTGCATTACTGAGTCACCCTGCGATCACCTTGTCATCTAGTATCTGAATGATGAACTGTGTGTGCATCTAAGAAAATTACATCTGCTGGCATTGTGTGGAAATGATCTCTTGGCATCCTGATAAAATGATATGCGGCTGCCGGTAAAAGGAAACTATTCAGTGGAAGCAGCACAGGATGTGTTAGAGATGGGCAAGACTGTGTTACATTTTTTTAAAACAAACTTAATAAATTTACATAGCATTTCCACTACATCCCATTTTCTCTTCCCTGCTGCATGGAGTTAGCTTACGGAGGAAGGGGGCTTCGTTGAGGAAGCACGGGTTTCCTCTTTTCTTTTGAATGTCCACTTTTCAAGAGAGTGGGAAGTTCCTATGCCTTGGCTTGGTCTTCTGTTTTCCCTCTGCCTTGCACCACGCCTGCAAGTTGGAACTGGGAGAACGAGTTGCCAAGTCATTAAAAAAATTAAAGAGGAAACTGTGGCTCCCAAGCAGGTTTTTAGCCAGCCTAAACCCCTTTATTTAGGGCACAGATTGACTTGATCATCTTTACTGTCTGTAAATCTTGTGACGACTGCTTGGGTAAAGTGGGGAGGGAGCGGCGGGGTCTGTGCTTTGTCTCTGTAACTCTAGAGGATCGGCAGGGCTTGCCCCTGTCTTTCATTTATGGATTTCATTGGAGGATTTATATCCCCGAAGCAGAAAGAAGCCATCTTTTTGTTTTATTGTGTTCTCTGAGTAGGCAACTTCACAAGTCCCATCAGGGCAGACTCAGGAAAGGAAGACACTGTGCAGACCCCGTTGCGGTTTTTCTCTCTTCGGGCCTGTCTACATGGGGGCGGTTGGATTTCCCAACCAGAGAAACACCCAAGCGTGCCCCACCCGCTCGCTCCTGCTCGCACGCTCCAAGCCCAAAAATATGCCAGCGAGGCCACTGCAAGACACCCCTCTGTGCTCGCTCTCGAGACCTCAGTCTCCAGCGTCTGTGGACCACTGTGGAGCAGCTTTGGCGGCATCTTTCTGCATGGGAGAGTGAGACCAGGAGCAGGTGGGCAGAGTGGGGGGCCCTTGCAGCCAGGACACAGAGCCATCACGGGGGAGACGTGCCTTTTGGGTCTGTGTGAATCTCTCAGTGCCAGGAAGCAAAGGGAGAGGGGGTTTGTTGTGGAGCAGAATGATCCAGCAAACTCGCTTCAGTGGAATTTTACCTACTTATTCATACTGCAGTCACACACAGGGCTGACAGGCAACATCCACGATTTATTGTAAGGAGATTTTAATAATCGATGGCCTCTTTATGTTGGGGATGCCACGACCATTTATTCTAGCTGTTTCATTTTAAAAAGAACAGAATCAAACTGTTGGACAGCTGCAATTTCAGAAGAAATATGGCTTAAACCGCGCCTAAAAAAAAAAAAAAATCATGGTTTCAGACAACACCTTTTTCAGAGACATCGGGAAGAATAAAACGAATGCGGTAAAGTCCAGACTCTGCGTGTTGCTGCCGTGGTGGGAGTTTGCAGCAGCTCCCCTAAAATAGCGGCGCTGCGTGCTGGCATACACGAGGAAATGTGGCTCCAGCGCTGACTAGCACCGTCATGCCGTTGCTGTATCTCATAACGCAGCTCCCATTATAAGGGATAGGCAGATGAATCATTTGTGTACAATTAGAGATCAGTGAGCCCTCCTGACTTGCTGCTTGTTAGTATGCAGCAGCCTCCCCTCTCCAGAGGATGATCACAGGCAGACTGTAAAAAAAAAGAAATCCTGGCTAGGGCTAAACAGGTGCTACCTCCATTTCTCTCTTGAGGTCCCAGATAATACGAGGAAGGAATTCACTCTTAGACATCACTAATCTGCTGATGGCATTCAGTTTTATCGTCTCTTTGCTGTCAGCCCATGGCGGAGGTTTCCTGACTACCAGGCACTTTTGCTGTGATGAATGATAGCTGGTCAGTATTTAAGCTGGGGGAACCTGGGGCTGACATTACCCCCGCGAGCGGCTGCTGGAGCCCTGTTGCTCAGGGCAAAGGAAATGCTACTGCTGGTGAGATATATCAAGTGTGCTGGGTGTCCCCCTCACCCAGGGAAGCTTCAACAGCCCTCTTGGGGGGCCCTTTCCATCTCCAGGTTTCTTTTAAAGTCAGGCCTCATCTCTACGCTGTTCAGACGTTGAGCACATCCAAGCGTTAATTGACTCTCACTTGGGTTCCCTTTGAAATGGATCTGGGAGCTGAATCCGTTCCAGGAGGCAGCTCTCCTCTCATTCTGCCGACAAGGGTGAGGGAACGGAGGATGCCTTCCGCGATACGCGCTGGTCTCTGGTACGCTAGCAGACTTCATGCTGGCTCACGATGCCTTTGAGATCGGACTCAGCGTCTCTTGCCATCCTCCAAAGCCAGAGGCGTGGGCTGGACTGCGCGTGCTGCCTGAACCGAGCCTGGTGCATTCGCGCTGGGACTCCTGCCCGTGAAGTTGCTCAGGGTTCCCTGGCGGCCGTCTCCTGGCTCCAGGTCAGGTCTTTCTTTTCAGGTTCATTCATCTTTGACCATTTTATAGTTCACCTTTTCTTCCACTCCTCCTTCTGCTTCTTTGCCCAGGTTGTCTGGACCGAATGCATTAATTTAAATGTTTTTACCGAGTCCCAGCTTTTTCCAAAGCATCCATAAGGTGATAATTAAAATAAGTAGACACAGCAGCAAGCCAATGGCTTTTCTTTTGATGCCCTGCTGCTGTAGAGGCATCTTTGCATATGTTACTTACTAACGTATCATTACAACACTGCTAATTGGCTCATACGGACAGGTTCTGGCCAAACGGGGGGGTTTAGCTAAAACCCATGAATATTTTTCAGCCATTCTGTGTCCGTCTACTTTGCAGGAAGAATTTTCAGCCTATGAGAAATGGATCTAAAATGCAAAGTCTGGATCCAGCTTCCAAACATCCTGGAGTAATTAGCTTCATAATTTTGGTTCAGACGACCTGTAACTGCAGTTGCAACCTGCAGCGCTTGTGGTTCACTTCTTCATTTCTCACACACACTTATTTTGTGCCATTGACCAAAAAGGAGTTGAATGAGTCTGTTTTTATCACCAGCATTCATTGACCAGCCTTTCCTGTGGCTGGGATTTTTAATTTTGTTTTTTAGATTTGACAGCCTATAGGAATCGCTTTCTTTTGCAGTTTGGCAAGATGATGGCTATCGCGTCTCATGAAAAGGTAGTAAAATCATAGATACGTAATGGCTTTATAGCAGTAGGACGGTCACCTGGTATCCAGAATATTAGAAATCTCGTACTGTTTTGCCTTCAGAGAGGGGAAGATAGCAACCTAATTTCCCTAATGTTTTCAGCTTCACTCTTTGACGTAAAAACTTTCTTGCAGTGCCGGCTATAGACAAAAACATCATGCTAGCTTCCCTTGGGTGGTCTAATTAGACACACCACTCAGAGGTTATCTGGAAATTGCAGCTGGATTCCACTGGTCGGCTGGATACCGTCCTTGATCCCGTGTATGAATCAGAGCTGCAAAAGTGGTGTGAAGATTTTTAAGGACACATAACACCACAACCGCTCCCAAACCATAGATTCCCACTTTCCTCCATGACGTTTTTTGAGTCCAAGACTTAGGTTTGAGTTCATCTCTGGTTTCTTATATACCGTGAGTAAGGGACCGTGAGAACTGGTCACTGTGATGGTGTTTACTGTGGATTTTGCGTAGAGGAAAATCTTCCTTCGAATTCCCGTCGAGGCAGTTCATTTCTGATACCTGTGCAAGTTGCTAGGTTTGTATTTCCACTAGCCCGGGCGTTGTGATTTCAGTATTGCTTGGTCTTCATCCGCTAGGGAATTCCTTTCTTCTTTCAGGTCGCGGTTTGCTGTGTTGTGACCAGCAAATTCTGCCCGTCTCATCAGAAGAAACTTCCTTGCTCTTACTCAGCAAAGGGCTTCCCGTCCAAGTAGTAGTTGCACTCTTTAATGCTATTTTTTTATTGACCAATACTAGATTTTTATTAAAATCTTAAACTTTTAGGCAATAATCTTGTTTTGGTTTGGTCTCTTTCATTTGACACGGGTCTTATTGCTTTGGCAAGTTTTTTTGGGGGGGGGAAATATTTGTATGTCAGTGAAGTCAAATGTATTCGTCGTTGTTAGGCAGTCGTGGGTTTGTCTTTTGGTTTCTAATGCCTTCCTGTTGTATTAATTGGGGCTGTACAGAGACCGGCTCACTTGTTTGCAGTTTTACTGAGTCAGATATTTTCATTAATATTCCCTTGGGGTCAGGTTGGTGACTGATCAGCAGCATGCTGCAGTTCCTACCAGGCTTTTCAACATAAAACATTCCTCCTTCTGCTTTTTTACAGCTAGGATATTTACTCAGGATTTTGACTCAGTTGTCAGCCAACAGACATTTGGCTACCTGAAGAGTGACCCGAAAACCTTCTAGTTACATTTCCACTAATACGATTTGCAGTCTCGAAACTGCCCCATTTAAAGCTATGGCACGCTCAGTGAAAAAGAGGTATTTCAGAGGTGGCAGCTACAAATTAGATTTCAAAGGTAACAAAACTTATTTGTCTCTTTTGAGAGAGATGCTTTATAACTACAGGAGCGGGCTCGCTCATCGGAGGACGATCAGCGGCCGATACGTTTTGAAGGTGGCACTGGGGGGAAAAGGGCTCTCTTTGGCCAACCCAAGGGTCTCGCCCGCTCTCTTTTTTTTAAAATGGTAGTTTCATAGCATCACTGAAACATGGAGGTGCAATAAATATATCTAGGGATCTAAGAAATTGTCTATCCTCTTGACCTAGTGTTTTATACCCAGAAGTATCTTGGAGTGATCTGTTCATGTCTGTTTTTCAGCTCTCTGTCTATCAACCATACTTGATTCGGTGGCCAAAATGATACGGACAGTAGTATACCGGAATCGGCTCCCCGAGTTAGAGGACAACAGCAGGCTCTTTACGGACATGCGTGTCGTACTTCAGTTTGGATTAACTGGGAAATTTATGTAAATATATTTGGTTTCTTCAGGGTCTCTCTTACCCAGCCTCACCAAGGTGGTTTTGAAGTACTCGGCTTTATCATTTCGAAGCGCTGTATCACACTGACAGATTGTCAAAGAAAGATATGCCAATTATCTTTTTTTAATCCCTTTGCGTGATTAGCTCTTTAGTTTTCACCAGTCTGAGAAATAGCAATCCGTGGATACTCCACGGCTTCGTGCTTTGCAAGTGCTTTCCGGGAAGCACTAACTGCTCCAGCCAGCAGTGCAGATGATACAAGTAGGTGCGCGTGTAGTAATACTATTGAGCCATAGTGAACTGCATAATGGATCTGTGATATCCGTGTACAGTGCAGCCCG